GCAGTCCATTCATGATGTGAACAAAGTTATCCGTAAACTTAAGGCAGAGAAAGTGACTCTTAAGTTTCAGCACTTGGGTAACAGTGAGGATTTGGCATTGGTTGTTTTCAGTGTCGCATCATTTGGCAACCTTCCTGATGGCGGTACTCAAGCAGGGGCATTAATTGCCCTTATGGGTAAAGGAGGAAAGTTTTGTCCTCTCTTTTGACAGTCTAAAAAAATCAGGCGTGTGGTCAGAAGTACACTGGCAGGAGAAACTCTTGCCATGTCAGATGGAATAGACAGTGCAGTCTTCCAGGCAACACTTTTTTCTGAGCTTACAACTGATAACACTAGTCTGAATGCTCTTCTGTTGATCTGTGTGACTGACAATCATTCCTTGTTTGATGCACTCAAGTCCACTAAGCAGGTTACAGAGAAGAGACAGAGGCTAGAAATGAGCAGCAAAAAGAGCTCATACAAGCCAAGGAAATCAGACTGTTGGTCAGATTCCAAATCCCAACTTGCTGATTGTCTGACAAAAAAGGGAGTTTCACCTTTAACCCTCCTAAAAGCACTAGACAAAGGACTCTGGATACTGTGATCCTTTGTTTACTAAGTTTTCTTTGCATTAAAATGCACTATTGTTTATTTTGTGCAGTGATAGTATGCTTTAAGTAAAGTACATTGAAATGTTTTCTGAATGTTCAACAATGTTGACAATTTTTTTGTTTACATATATATTTATGCAAATGTTTTAAAGAGGTGTTTATATTTTTATTTTAAAAAAGAAAGAGGGAGATTGTTAACTTGTTATTTTCTGTTATATCGCGAGAGTACTGTTGCCCGCGAGGAGTTGTTGTTTTGTGTACGTGGTGTATGATGGCGTAAAGAATAAAGCGCTTGGAGTGAGACTACGACGTGTCTTTTGACTTTACAATCTGTATGTCAAATCATGGGCGAGATACTAACATGAAGTTTCTCTCTGATACGTCTATTGGAGTTTGAATGTTAAAGCACTTAAGCATGGAAAAGAGTCCTTGTGTGAATGAGATAAGTATAAAGTACTTTGAGCGCTCAAGTAGAATAGAAAAGAGCTATATAAGAACCAGTGGAAAACCTAGTTCATGCGTTTATTACTTCTGGCCTGGACTATTGTATGTCACTATTATAAGGATGTCTTAAAAACATTTAATCCAAAATGTTGCAGCCAGAGTATATCTTTGGTTCCTCGTTTCAAGGACATTGAAGTGCCTCCCCAAGAGTGTAAACATTTATCCACTCTCTCTGTCAGAGTTTTTTGTTAACATGAATGTTCAAGATGTTCAATAAACATGTTAAGTGCATATATTTTCCCTTTTTTCTCCAGTCTGTTTGCTCATGCAAAATGAAATGTGATTAATATAGAATAAAAATGAACATTTAATCGTGATTAATCAAAATTAATCCACAGTAACCCTGTGATGAATCTGATTAAACATTTTAACTGTTTGACAGCACTAATATATATTATATATTTGTGTGTACTTTTTTTTTTTTAAAGTTGTATTTCACAGGAGAGAACCTGTGCTAAAAGATTAAAGAAAACTATTCAAATTCTCTTTGAATTTAAGCATACATTCTTTGTGTTTATTCTGCATTTACTTCCTTATATTGCATAAATGTCAGTTACAAGCTTAAATATAAAGTTAAAAAAAATGTAACTGCAACCATGCTCTTGATCAAGTAATTGTGATTAATTACAGAAAATTGTGAGATTAATTAGTTTTTATTTTTTTATTTTTTCAAATCTATTGACAGCACTAGTTTTTAGAATTAATGAATCAATATAGCATTATTCAAACTAAAATCGATTTAAATCAGGAAATTCACTTTATAAAGCCAAGAGTTGGAACACCTCTAGGAATTAGTAGCACCAACTTTCAATAGATTAATATAAGATATGATGGGTCCTGATTATTCAAGACCTTGTATGCAAGGAGAAGGATTTTAAACTAATTCTGGATTTAACAGGGAGCTAATGAAGAAAAGCCAGGATAGGAGAAATATGCTTTCTCTAGTCTGTCAGTCTGTCTAGTCTGTCAGTATTCTTGCTGCTACATTTTGGATGAACCAAAGCCTTTTCAGGATATTTTTGTGGCAGCCTCATAATAATGAATTACAGTAGTCCAGCCTAGAAATAATAAATGTATAAACTAGTTTTTCAGCATCCCTGAGACAGGATGTTTCTAATTTTAGAGATATTGCAAAAATGGAAGAAAGTGTTCCTAGGCATTTGTTTAATATGCGCATTGTAGGAAAAAAAACAATTTCAAGATTCCTCATTGTTACTGGAGGTTATAATGCCAACCAAAGTAAGCATCTGGTTAGATGCCATACTCCTAAGAGATCTTTTATGCCTAAGTTTAATACAATAATCTCAGTTTTATCTGAATTCAGAAACAGAAAATTAGAGGTCATCAAGGTCGTTCCCACTAAACATGGGATGTGTCAGATAGATACGTGGATCATTTCTATATTGGGCCCGTTGCTCCATGACCAATTCTGGACATAAGTTTTCTAAACTAAGCCCACAATTTGGACATCCAACCATGACCCAACCTGGTTGTCAATATGATGTTCAATTTAAGATATGTCTGAAAAAATCTGATTTCCTGGCTGCTTGGGACGATCTGCGTGTTTGGGCGTGCTCTCTGCAATATCAAATGTGGAGCTACCCAGTGTGGTAGTTCCACACTGAGTAGCTTGTGAATAAGGTAGTAACCAAAAGAAAGAAACCACATGAAAATTGTTCTGCTGAGGAAATATGTTTTAATTTTGTACTGATCTCTGTGTAGAAATGTGACAAAAAACTGCAACATCTCAGTTAAGGTTGGTTTCAGTAAAATATGAGTATTACTATAGAGGAACAGAAAGGGACTTAAACATGCAAGGTGAGGACTCAGTGAAGAGTTACAGGGCAGGGTCGAATTTTTGGACTATGTTCAAAGCATTGCACCATCTGCCTGGGACTATTATGCACTAGTTCTGAAAACATTTCCCACTCTCATTCCCAATAAATAAAACACCTCAAATGTCACAAGCCCCATATACTCTTGGAACCAAAACTTTTGTAGGTTTAACACTAAACAGAAAAATAGTACATTTAACACTAATCTTCATAAATCATATTTATGTGATTTAAATACTCTTCCCCCCAAATTTTGTGCCATGAAAGGGACACTCCTTATGGAAAAAGCCCAGCCACAAAATATATCTGTCCATGCTTTTCAGCTACTCTTTACTGTTTTTCTATTCTCTATTCTATTCTATTCTCTTCTGAGTTGTACCAAGAATCTGGTCTTCTCTGATTCAATGCTTGTTTTTTCAAAGGGACCAACAGTATTGAGTGTCATACACAGTGAGGCTGCAGCACTGTCAACAAGATAGCTGACTTGTGTGGGAATTGTAGGTAGGTGTCCTCTACTGTAATGGTACATGAAATGCAAGTAAACAATAGGTTCATGACTTTCTTAGATGTGGTTACAGCACTTTTGATATCAATTGTAATAACATTTCTCAAAAAGTAACATAGTCCACATATAAATACTAACATTTAAAAAAATGGTAGGAGCAAAGAAGATTTGAAGAAGTACTATTAAATGTTTATTTTCTGTATGCCAGAAAGGTGTAATTAAAATAATGAATGGGTTTATTTATATTTGAGAGAAGTCAGTTGACTTTATTAATAAATTAAATGTTTTAATGAAGCTGCCCTTGTCAACATCTTTATCAATAGCCACACACTGTAATGACTGTAGTAGGCTTTGTGTTGGTTCACCTGATTTGAGGAAACTTGACACAACACAGGGGTGTTCAGCTTGGTGCAACACCATGTCTTTTTAGTTCTTTTTGTATTTCCCTTTGCATTTTCAGCTGGTTATTTGCTTACTATACTATTGTTCTCAAAGACAGGGGGAGGCATAATTAAGCAACTGGCCACAGCTGCAATAACCAGCCTCACTTCATTTACGTGTGAATTATATTTCTGCATCAGATCTACGTCATAACTTAAGCCATAACTGGGAGTCCCATTTTAACCCTTCGCCACAAGCTTCTACGTAGCCTGGTGTGCAACTCTTGAGAAATGTAACTACATGTCAGTTTGATGCATACCACAACAATTGGAATGTAACGTTGCAGTATAGGGATTAAAAGGCGATTCTGGTTACCATCTAAGTTTGGATGTAGATTTCCTGAGAAGTCTAAATCAAGCATTTAGGCCAGGGAGCCATCTGGCCTAGCCTACTGCTACCCCTAGTGCCACAAGTGGGAGAAAAAAAATCTGTGGCCGATTTTCTCTAACCAGTCTAGAGGGAAGACCCACCCCGAAGTCAGCATCAACCTAGCATCACCACTGAGTGCAGCACAGACACTACATGTCCCTATCTGTTGTGAGCCCACCACTAAGCATTGTCCCACCAAGTTATCCTGCCTAATCCATTAATCTTGAAAGATTAGGGGTGGACAAGGTGATAGCTCTTGTTAGTAAGAGCAAAGGAACCTGCCATAGCACCCACTATTCCCTTGGCCACTGGTATGCCTTGGCTGTGTCTTTGATTAATACAATGGAAGACTGCTGCCCCTCCCTTTCTGCTTGTGTTTAGAAGATAATGACAAAGTATGTGTAATTTGTGGGCGCAGTTGTAAATGGTACATGCACTAACATTCATACAGCACTTTTCTTGTCTGGTAACCACTGAAAGCACCCCTTACAACACTTTATCAGATGCAAACTAACACTAATTGGTGGTGACAATTTTGTAATGTCTTGCTGAAGAACTCCTCAAGCAGGCTTGACTAGTAGGGGATTGGACCATTGAACTTCAGTCCCACAACCCTCTCAGGCTGTGATGTCTTTCCTTAATTGTAGTTTCATTTTAGTAGTTGGAATTGACTGCCTCAGTCCAAAGCAAGCGTTCCATTAGCAGTCATTAAGTATCCAATCCTTATTCACACAATTCCTTTACATTTTTTTGCAGATGTTATTTCTCCTACACTCTTCAGCCCTTACTTCCGGCGGCTGACTTTTGATGTGTCCTCTATGGAGAAGAATGCCTCCAACTTGGTGAAGGCAGAGCTCAGGATCTTCCGTCTTCAAAACCCTGGGGCCCGAGTGTCTGAGCAACGAATTGAGCTCTATCAGGTACAAACACTTTTGTCTGGAGTAACATTCATTATGCCATATTTCCTAAATATGAGTTGCTTTGTGTTTTATAAAGACTAGGAAGGATTGCTTAATATAATTTTAAAATGCAAAGATTTTTTACATTGCAAAAAAATATATTCTGATTTTTGTAGGTTCTTTTTCATAAACTTTGAAGATTCTTAATGATTAGTATAATGAGATTATCAGAATGGGAGCCCTGTGGAATTGTATAACTAACTTTTGTGTGTGGAAGGCTCATCATTTAAATTTTAAAAATTAATTAATCCAATAAATATGACTCAAATCACTGTAGTATAGTTTTTATTCTCAGTTGTTCCAGTGCAATTCAATTTTGCGATTACTGGTGTCAAAAGCAACAATGATCCAGCAGGACATGCATAGAGACAGTCCATTGTCTGGCGCCATTAGGAGATTGTTAGTAACTGACTGGACATCCGTTTTTGTGCTAACTGAAACTTTTCAAACAATTGATTCCTTTCACAGACACAGGGATTTTAAAGGACTTTATCAGTAAAAGGAATGTTGGTTGTAGGTCTAAAGCACTCAATTACACTCAACAAAAATATAAACGCAACTTCTGTTTTTGCTGCAATTTTTCATGAGCTGAACTTAAAGATCTGAAACATTTTCGACATACACAAAGGACCCATTACTATCAAATATTGTTCAGAAATCTGTCTAAATCCGTGTAAGTGAGAACTTCTCGTTTGCCGAAATAATCCATCCCACCTCACAGATGTGGCATGTCAAGGTGCTGATTAGAAAGCATGAATATGGCACAGGTGTGCCTTAGACTGCCGCAAATCAAAGGCCACTCTGAAATATGCAGTTTGATCACACAGCACAATGCTACAGATGTCGCAGCTTTTGAGGGAGTGTGCAATTGGCATGCTGACTGCCGGAATGTCTACCAGAACTGTTGTTTGTGAAATGAATGTTCATTTCTCTGCCATAAGCCATCTTCAAAGGCGTTTCAGAGAATTTGGCAGTATATCCAACCGGCCTCACAATCGCAGACCACATGTAACCACACCAGCCCAGGACCTCCACATCCAGCATGATCACGTCAACGTTGTGGATTGAGTGGCCCATGATGGCGGTGGGGTTATGGACAATGAACACAAGTGCATTTTATTGTTGGCATTTTGAATGCACAGAGATACCTTATTGAGATCCTGAGGACCATTGTTGTGCCATTTATCCATGATCATAACCTCATGTTACAGCATGATAATGCACAGCCCCATATTGCAAGGATCTGTACACAATTCCTTGGAAGCTGAAAACATCCCAGTTCTTTCATGGCCAGCATACTCCCCAGACTGTTTGGGACGCTCAGCTCAGCATATATGACAGCATGTTCCAGTTCCTGCCAATATTCAGCAACTTTGTACAAGTATTGAAGAGGAGTTCACCAACATTCCACAGCCCACAATCAACAACCTGATCAACTCTATGCCCACTGCACACCATTTTCCTTACTGTGTGAGGCACCATTGTGAGAGAAATGGTGGCCACACCAGATACTGACTGGTTTTGCGACATCTGTAGCATTGTGCTGTGTTATCAAACTGCATATATCAGAGTGACCTAAGGCGCACCTGTGCAATATTCATGCTACCTAATCAGCACCTTGACATGCCACACCTGTAAGGTGGGATGGATTATCTCGGCAAACGAGAAGTTCTCACTAACACAGATTTAGACAGATTTGTGCACAATATTTGATAGTAATGGGTCCTTTGTGTATGTAGAAAATGTTTCAGATCTTTAAGTTCTGCTCATGAAAAATTGGAGCAAAAACAAAAGTGTTGCGTTCACATTTTTGTTCAGTGAAAATACTTGATTACAGAAGGTCTAAAAGCCTGTGGTGTGCAGCCTGCTATATGACCCTACTACCGTATTTTTCGGACCATAAGGCGCACCGAATTATAAGGCGCACTGTCGATAAACGGGTCTGTTTTCATACATAAGGTGCACCAGATTATAAGGCGCATTAAACGAAACAAAACAGTCAGGTAAGCCAAACTTTACTCAACTTATTCTTCTTGCTTCCTCCACTTCTGTACCATTGATTCATTAATGTTGAATTCTCTCACAGCTGCTCTATTCCCATGTTGTTACAGTATATTAATGACTAACGTTGTGTTGTGAATGGATTATCTCAGTTTTCTCCTGACTGAAGTTTGGTCCGTTTAAAGCATCCTGCCATGTGATTGCATTTGTCCCTAACCTTCTGGAACCCCCCCATTAACTTTTATCAAGTGGAAAAAAGTTAGCATTCATCTTGAAGCTTCACTGTGTTCGTTATGATGTGTCGCTAGTGATCACGTAGCATTATATACCAGCTAGTCCAACCCTACAAAAGTCACTGCTGTTAAGTTTTCTGTCGGAAGCAATAGCAGAGCTGTAGGTTTTAATTTTTTCAGAAATCTTTCTGTCAGAACATGGTATATCATGTTTAGGTCGAAACTAGCGAGCTAACTTCCTGCTAACTTCTAACTCTATTAAATTTAATCAATTCTGTTGTCATGGATGCCTGGATGTTTAACTTAATTCTTACACCTGGTAAAGCAGCAACACTGATCATTCTATTAAAGATGGGGTGGCTGTAGCTCAGGTTGCAGAGCAGGTCAGCCACTAATCAGAAGGTCGGTGGTTCGATCCCAGGCTGCCTCCTGACTGCATGCCAAATATCCTTGGGCAAGATACTAACCCCATGTTTGCCTACTGGTGGTGGTCAGAGGGCCCGGTGGCGCCAGTGTCCGTCAGCCTCGCCTCTGTCAGTGCGCCCCAGGGTAGCTGTGGCTACAATGTAGCTTGCCATCACCAGTGTGTGAATGACTGAATGTAGTGTGTAGCGCTTTGGGGTCCTTAGGGACTAGAAAAGCGCTATACAAATGCAGGCCATTTACCATTTAAAGATGAAAGAATTTAGACAGTTTTTAACTCTCAGTGATGCCGCAGTGACTTTGGGACCTAGAGCGGACAGAGTTTTGAACCCAGATTACTCAAGGCTCCTGACTACAGTAGCTGTAATGCCTCAACAATCCATCAAGCGGTGCGGCTTCATGGCTTACCAAAGTCATACTAAAGCATTTTTGACAGATTTTTGCGCCGTGTACCACATAAAATTGGTTCGACGTCCGTAAGCACAACCAGAATTCATACATAAGGCGCACCGCAATATAAGGCGCACTGTGGATTTTTAAGAAAATTAAAGGATTTTAAGTCCGCCTTAGTGCGGAAAATACTGTAAATATTGAATTGTTTTAGACATGCTAAATAAATGTTGATGATTTCGATCAAGTGACAGTTAAAGCTAGTTTAGTGAGGGAGTCAATAGGACAAAGGTGGTAAATAGATTCGGTCATATATAGCATTTATCTACTGTCATAGATCTTACGGTTGCCTCTTGTTGTTGTACTAGATGAAAGAATGGAAATGTTTATTAATCATGAATAATAATAATAATAATGATAATAATAATAATATATAGGTTTTTTATCATAAAGAGATCCATGCTAGGTAACATTTTTCTAAATTAGTGGAAGACCAATTTCTTTTTAGCTTCTTTCACATTTACTGTTGTCTCGTATAAGGTGTATATTAACAGTCAAGAGCAAATTATATAATCTTTAAAAGTTTGTAAAAAAAATCACATCATGAAAACTTTGCCAAGTATTTTTTCTCTGTTTACTTTTTGTATTGTTAGTCTGTAAAGTTTCTCACTCAAGTCTTAACAGGAGACCAGAGCAAAAAACTAAACTGTGGCTTATAGACACTCAAAACCCTGTACGCATTTCCTGACATTGTCTCTTACAGTATCTGCAGGTATCTGAAAATGTCTCTCCCTGGTAACTTGTGTATCCCTTGTAACTGATTGAAAGAGGCAAAGATACCCTCCCAGTACAGATTACTGATTGTGCAAAACTGATTGTGCACCTGTTTCCAAAGTCTAAATGTATTTTCTAGAAAAGATGGATTGCCTACAGTGGGTGTGATAGAAGATAAAGACTTCAAATTAAAGTATAGTTTAGTAGCCGTCATACATCGACTTATCAATGGGCAGGGAAGACAGCAGTAAAGCTCCTATACAATAAGGCTGAGAAGCTCCAGCTGCAACCACGTGAGGGGACTGCTGTTGTCAGCTAAGCAGAATGTCATGAATTTTATATGCGAAGCCCAGTAATAGAACAGGAAATTTGGAAGCACTAACCCTCACTCTATTTTAGACTTGAAAAGATGTTTCCTAGCAAATTCTATGTGTTTTATTGCTCCACGAAAAAGGTAAGATGAGTGAATTCAGGTTTTTAAAAAATGATTTAGGAAGGAACATGGGGAGATTTTATAATAAGTACAACCACTTGGGCAAAATTATCATCTTTATAGCATAAACTCTACCAATGAGTAATATAGGTAGCATGTTCCAGAACTGTATACTTGACTGAAGCTCAGATATTAAAGGAGAGAAGTTAGGTTTTAATAGAGAGGAACAGCTGAGTACCCAGATAAGTGAGCTTCTCATAAACTCTGTCTATACCATGCTGGATGGGAGGTTTTGTAGCCAAGATGGGTTACTCACATGTATAGGGATTAGTTTACTTTTATTCAGATTCATCCTATATCCAGAGAAGGACCCAAATAACTTAATTTTGACAAATACAGCAGGAATAGTCTTTTCTGGCTGGGTGATGTATAATAACACATTATCCATGTAGAGTGAGATTTTATTAGTAGTTGTGTCAATATTATAACCAAAAACGTTGTAATTGGATCTTTACATATGCTTTCAGCAAGGGGGCTCTATTACTAAGGCAAATATCAATGGAGGGAAGGGGTCTCCCTTAGCACTAAAACCTTAGAAAAGTGCTTGTGTGAATGGGTGTAATTGAGTGAACGAACGAGTTGTATAAAGTGCTTTGAGTGCTCAGAGTAGAAAAGCGCTACATAAGAACCATTCCATTCACCATTTA